ATTAATTAAAACTAATATTCCAGCACACTATAGAAATAAAATTAGAAAATTTCAAGTCAAGCATGTAGTAAAATTGAGATTAATATTATAACTACATCTAGCTTCATCAACTATCCCAATAAAAGAGATTACTCCATTATGGAGTATCTAAATCTCACAAAGAAAGAAATTCTTAAAATACTATCAACACTCTTAGAAAATTCAAAAACTACAAGAGGAAAATGAAAGAGATAAAGAAAGAAGTAAAGACCAAAGCTACAGAAAAATTGCTAATTAGGCATGTATGATCTTCCCCTCCTTTCAACACAGATATGAAATCTTTTTTTTATAGAAATCAAATCTCATAAGGTGTCACGATGCCTTGTGGTTCTTTTGCCATGATGCGTCGTGCTTCTATTGCCATGATGCCTCGTGGTCTCTTTTTATTCCTTTATTTGCTTTATCATGATATTTTTATTTCCTGCAAAATACTATTAGAAAATACAGATAATTGACATATTATATATATATTATTTAAAATAATTTATTTTTAAGTATATAATATATGAATATTTTATAGTCATCACCTTTCTTCATCTCTCGCTCTCATTCTACTTGTCTTCTAAGTACTCCTATAATGGCAATTGAACAATCACTTCCTTCTCCCACCGATAACACCACTCCCACTTTCTTATCATCATTGAAATCATCTCCAAAGCTTCACTATTTCACTCCTTCTACTACTTTACCCACTCCTAGCGCCTCCTCCTTTCCTACAGTTTTCCCTTTTTTGATAAACCATGTTCTCTCTCATTTTGAAAACCCTATGTGTAGCCATTCCTCTAATCTTATCAACATATACTCAGGAGGTTTTACCTCTCAAGTGTTAGAAGTTCCTGAGGATGATCCTGACCAATACCTGAACTCCTCTATTCTGGACTTAGTGACTCTCTTAGAGTCACCAGAAAAGGAAGCAGCACATAGCATCATGGCTATCGTTGCTCAGAGTCTGATGAGTGAAGGAGCATATCTCTCATCAGGGTATCAAGGGGAAGAAACTTTATGCCTAGGAGATGTAAGAACCACAATACTCCTTGAGTCTTTGGCTCATGAGACGTTCTCAAAAAAACTTTCTGAAGAACCTGATTCTCTTCTATGAAAACCCACTCCTACACCTTCTGATCATTCTAAGCGCGTAGAATCCTCCTCCAAGTCACCCACTATCAGCTCACAACAACAAGAGAGTTTTGAGTCCACACTACAAAAAGTAAGAGGAGTGTCAAAAATAGGAAAAAGAGGATAATGAATCAAAAGGAATTTGGCACTAACAAGAGTGTTCCAATAGGTAGGACTGACAAAAATGTTACAAGGGAACCTGGTTCCCTGGTACAACAATCTTTGAAAGCTCGAAAATCTGTAGACAAAGCTTCTGATGAAACTATTGAACAACAAAAAGGGTCATCTGTGAAGGGAAGCGACAAGTCAAAAAGGAGTCAAACTGAGCAAGCTATATCTGAAGATGATACTGTGGGGATAGTAAGTTGGAAAAGAAAGTCTGTTGAAGGGTCTAGCAAACAGGAATGGGAAACTGGTACAACACCTGGTGCACTGAGGATCATGCCCTGTGATAGTGGTCTCTGGCAGCAGAGATTAAGAACTCAGAAAATCTTATGGGGTCATACATTTGATCCATCAATTTCGTAGATGGCCGGTATGAGACAAATTCTGGAGATTGTGGAATTTCAACAATGAGAACATTTGTTTGAAGGGAGAATGCCTCTGGTGTATAAAGATGCAGTACAAACTTTTTACGCATCTCTCTTTACTGTTGAGGGGGATCATATTTGTGCGCTAGTAAATGAAGTAGACATTGTACTTGACGCCTCAACATTGGTAAAGGTTCTCAGAATTCCATGTGAAGGGATGTTTTCAGTCAAGGGTGTCTGTGGTGTAAACTTCAGGAGAGCCATCATGAAGGAGCAAGTAATTCAGCAGGGGAACAATTGCATAAGAAGATTTTGCTTCCTGAGTATCAGCTTCTCTTTGAACTGGTCAACAAGGTGCTCTTACCTCGTTCTGAGAGGCGATCTATTGCTACACAATTGGATATAGTCTTAATGGAAGCGCTTGATGAGTTTGTCCCAATCAATATGTCAGCAATTATGATAGATCATATGCAAAATGTGGCAAACTTTAAAGGTGGGAATCATGGGCTACCATATGACTTTCTCCTCACTCGGGTGTTCAGATTCTACAAGGTCCCCTTGGGGAATCCCAGGGTAGGCACATGCAAGCAAACCTTCTCTAAGACCACTTTAGAAGAATGTGAGTGTATAGAAAGAGTTGGTGGAAGCATCTTGACCATTTCTCAGCTGATCAACGCTCAAAATGTAGCTTCTGAAGAAATCAGAAGGTTGAGGGCTCGAAATGCCATACTGGAGACTCAGCTCAGTCAAGCAGTTAAAGGACCTGATTCTGTTAATGAAGAAGTTGCACGACTGACAAAGGAAAATAATAGACTTCGGGCACAATTACTTGAACAACAACTGTTTGTAAATGCTCGACTAGACCTGGTTCTCAAAACCATTGTTGTCTCTTCTTTCAAGCCTTCTTCTTCTAGTGTTCCCTAGGATCCTCTTAGTGACCAGTTATTTTTGCTTTAATCTTCTATGGCTGTTGTTTTATTTTTGTTTGATTTTGTTTTTGTGATGGCATGCTGGAATTCACCATTAATGCTCCTGTCTTTCTCAGTCCATTGTAAATATTAATAAAACAGCTTCCCTTTTTGCCTGTCCAATGTTGTGTTCCTCTGACTTCTCTTTTCTGTCATGTTGTGTGCATATATGTGGCATGAGCTAGCTGCGTTAGACTTTTTTATGCTAAATACCTGTTTGTGCTCTTTTTAATGATGCCAAAAAAGGGAAGAATAAGACTTCAGGGGGAATTTTGGGGAACTTTATTTCTCAAGAGCTCTGAGATTAAGGGGGAGTTAATTGTGGAGAGCTCTGATATTAAGGGGGAATTTTATTTGAGATTAAGGGCGAACCTTGTGTAGTTTCTGGTATTTTATCTGGTTATTTCTGCTCTAAACAAATTCTATCCATGCCTAAGTTTGTCATCATCAAAAAAAGGAAAATTGATGGGTTTTCAATGTCTTTGCCTTATGCTTCTTATGTTTTAATGATTTAACAAACTTGTTGTGAAGATCAGATAGAGAATCTGGCCCACATGGTATACATTTCAACTGACCTGGTTCAAGTCAGCAAATAAATGAACGACCACAAGGATGAACACAACATGGACCTGGTGACCTGGTCCCTTAGGGTTCTCCGACACAAGTACAAGTCAGTGACTGTCCACAATCATTATAAGAGGAACATAATAGGGACCTGGTCCCTGAGGGCGCTCTGACAGAAGTACAGGTCAACTGTACAACTGGAACGTAGTAACAGAAAGTGACTATCTCGCAACTGTTACAGAAGAGGAACACAACTAGGACCTGGTCCAGTAGTGTTCTCTAACAGAAGTACAAGTCGACTATCCAGCTGGAATGCAACTGCACAGAAGTGGCTGTGCAGATAGTACAACACTCACTTCTCATTGGGAAGAAACGTGTATCAAGAATTGACACCACTATCCATTGTGATATGTTTTGTGATATAAAAACCTGGTGCAAGGCACAACATCTGTGTGCATTTAGTGATATTCTCTTAAGCATAACAATGTTCATTCGGTATTGAAGTCACCAGTGTGTCAAGAACAAGAAGACAACTCTACTAAGGATCAGTTTCTAAATGAGTTTATGTTCATCTGTAGTTGAGTTGTAATCTTGTTATTTGCTCTTCATTGTATTTCCTAGTTTGCTTTCTTAGAAGATTTATCTTAGGAACAAACCAAAAATCCGTAAACTTCAGAGTTTATGTTATGACTAGGAATAGTCATAAGTCTAAATCCTTTGTAACTAGGATAGTTATAAATTGACTTGTGGTGGGTACATCACAAGTTAGTTGAAGTCTTTGTAATATGGTTATTGCAAAGTGGCTTGTAATAGGGAGATTGCAAGTTAGTGAAGTTAAAAGCCTACAAGAGTAGGTCGTGATTTTTTGATCCCCTTGTGTGGAATTTTTCCACATAAAAATCCATTGTCTTCTTTACTTTCAGTCTCTATAGAATTCTCAACATCATCTCATATAGGACTAGATACTCTATAGTTTGGTGGACTCATATAAACTAACAAAAACAAAGTTATGTGATGCTCTCTTCTCTGCCATTTCATATCAAAACAAAATTGATAAAAAATAGTTGTTCCAACTTTTATAATATTAGGCCTGTGCTGGCACGAGCTAGCACCACCTAGTTAATAGTTGGACATAAACATACAAGCGACATTATCATTTTGGGCCATATATGTCATTATCCACTAACATAATCCTACCATTACTAGATCTTGCCATGTGTCATTATAAACTCTTCATTACTTATCAGCCCCCCTTCCCTCTCACCCTCTTTTACAAGTGGCATATGTGAGCCATTTCATTAAGTTCAGTGATATATTTGAGCCATTTCGTTAAAATTATTGGATTATTTGAGCCATTTCGTTAAGTTCAATGGATATTTGAGCCATTTCATTATGTAAAATTTGTGTTCAATAGGCACACTATTATTGGAGTTGAAGTATTTAATATGTACTAGCCTTAGTTGAGGTGTCAAAATAAAAATTGGATCCAACTTTAAGGGACTATTATGTATTTGGCCTATAATTTATATGAATACCTAATAGGGGCTGATAATATTTTTGGCCGAGCGGCTAACTATGTAACTTCTCCAGAAGAAAGTATATAGCGGCTGTAATTATTTTTGATCGACCAACAAATATGTTAAAAGCCTAATATATTTCCTGAATAGATGGGCTGGAGTTTTAAACCAAGCCCAGTTAAACTGATGCACCTCAAGGCCCATTGGGCTTAGATGGAGCTATATATAGATGCTGTCTTATAAATCTGAACCTATTTTGATTCCCTCTCAATTCTCAAATATAAAACCCCTCCTCCTGCGTTAGGTTGTACGAAGCAGTCAAGCGCCATTAGCGTAACACAATAAATCAGGTTTACGTTTTTACATTCTGCTAATTTTTTTTTGTGAAATCATAATTACAACTTCAAATTTCGTTTTCAATACATTGATTTAATGATTTTGGTGCTTGTAATGTAAGATTTACATGCATTTCATTAAGTTTATTTTTATCGCACTAATTAATTGTTTCTCCTTTTTGTTTGACGATAGGGAGTGTGGATTATGAGAAAGTTTTTTTTTTCTGCAGGTACCTTTAGTCCAAACCCTATACCTTAGCTCACAAATTTATATTTGTACAAATTATTAATTTAAAACCTAGTAACATAAAAAATTAGAATCCCGAAACTGTAAGCTTCAAATTATAACCCCGCCTTTGATTTTCTGCTTTCATGATATGAACTATATGGTTAATAATTTGTAGGAACATAATTCTTTGTTACCTGAAGGCTTGAACTGAGTTTAATTGGTGTCAAAATCGGATATTGAGTTTTTTTTGTGGTGTTCCTTTTAAGCTTCAATCTTTCTATGCATTTTATTTTTAGAGGTGGATTTGGGTTAGAGTGCATGTGGTGTCAGCAAGATGATAATAGTAACAGTAACAAGAAGGTAAAGTGAAAATATATAGTACCATAGAGATTAATCTAATTGGCACCTTATCAGTTGTTTTAGCCTGTAGGATAACCATTTCCTTGTACCCTCAGGCTCGATCTCTCTGCCAGTGAATTGGTATGCTGAATTTTGGATGGACTTCCAATTGGTTTTGCCTTCTAGGCCATTGCACATGCCACGACCTCTACGGAGGCTGAGATGGTTGGAATTTCCTACGGAGCAGGGGCGGAGCTGGGGTGTCAGCTATGGGTTAGGTCGAACCCAGTAGTTTTGGTTCAAACCTTGTATTTGTCTTAAAATTTATTAAATGTGTACAAATTATTAATTTAGAACCCAATAGTGTTTCCTGGCTCCGCTTCTGCTATGGAGATCTCCATAATGTAGTGTGACGATTATGCTGTCTGAGAAGGCTAAAATTGGATGATGTAGACTTTTAGTCACATGGAGGATGTTGTTATGAAAATAAATAATGACTTAGGTAAGAGTGATACAAAATGAAAGCTAAAGGATCCGTATAAGCAATATCAAATTCTTGGGATTAAGGCTTAGTTATTGTTGTTTATGCTGACAGGAGGTTCAGTGTTTATTAGGAGCTTTTAGTCGATTAGACACTTGTGATCAGTGTTGTGATAATTGTTGGGTTCAGGAATCCTGTAGTTTTAAAGAATTCAATTGCCTTAGAGGCCAAATTCTTTTCCAGTGATACCTATTAAATTATTTTTTTACGAATGTTGAAAATAAATGGTTCAAAGAGAGACATGACATAGAGAGGATCATATGGCTGACCAAATTGGTAATGAAATTAAGGCGCAATCGGTTCATCAATTGATCGACTAGCCATTGATGTTGTTTGCTAATCTATAGGAGAGAGTGAGCTAAATAATGTTCTCGTATAAGATCTAAACAAAGCTTTTTTCTTAAGTTATGCCCTAATAAAGCTATAAATCTCTGTTGATCACAGAACATTAAAGAATCATCAACTCATGTCATTGTGGATGCTATTATCTATGTTGCTCGGACTCTCCGAAAATGTCGCCGGGTGCGTATCTGATACTCCAAAAGTAGTGTATTTTTGGAGAATCCAACACGGGTGCGGTAACAATTTGGAGAGTCCGCGCAACATAGGCTATTATAGGCCTTTCTGAAAAATGGTCATGCTGAACAAGTATGATAAATTATATGAAGCAAGTAAGTTTAGTAGGCATTCGGACGTGACTCAACCAAATATTATTTGCAATATTGAAATGTTATTTACAAATGGATTTCTATTTTACAGTTTTAGTCCACTATTTCAACTTCAACTTGAAATAGAGAATTTGAAGTTCAAGACTTTTGTAGTAGTATTTCAAGTGAAATAATTAACTCTCAAAACTTTAACTGTTTTTTCAATTGAAATTCATGTCCAAACACAGTTGATTCAATTTCCAAATGCTCTTCTTGAACTTCAACTTGAAGCACTCATTTTTCAATTTTAACCAAATTATATCCAAACAGGCATAAAACTTTCATCCTCTTCATTTGAAGGTGAAGACCAGCCTCCAAAAGGAAATATTCTTAATTTGAGAATCCAACTATATTATGTCAGTATGGTCCTAGATTCCTGGTCAACTTTTGGAAGGGCTTCCATTTCTTGCTTCCCTGAAATATACTACTCATTCGACATTTTCTTTGCTCTTGCAAAACGAAATGTAACACTATTGTTTTTATCATATCGGAAGTGGCAAAGTTTTGAATCCATGTCTAGAAAATAGAAATAAAAAATAGTTGAATGATTTTGCACCCATGATTTGCTTCAACATGAGTTGATGGTTAAGTTTGGACTACTTTTTCTCTTTTGTTAATTTGTTGGAGTTTATGTTTACACATTGTGTACTACTTCTCGAAGAAAGACACAGAATTTTTAATTTGTATGATTCCATGAAAGCATGTACCAGACCTGTTTTTTTCTTCAATTTTCTTTTTGTTTTCCTGTTTGCAAAAGAAACAGGAGAACTACTATCTTGTAAAATTTCATGAAAGCATAACTCCTCCCCCCCCCCCCCCNTTTGGATTAGAGCTTAACTTGATTCAAGTAGTAGATGCTTTGAAATCTCAGTAGTATTCTCGACTTTCTGCAAAATTAGTTATTTGCCCAGGAAGAAAAGAGACTGTGATTTCCTTAATGAAATCCTAGTCAATGCAGATGTGAGTGTATCAGTGTGCTATTGATATGATGAAAAGACTATATCTACCGGCTCTTCTATGTAACTCTATTTGGTACTGAGCTTATATAATGCTCGACCTTCTGCAAATTTAGTTATTTGCCCAGGGAGAACAAAGAAGAAAAAGTAATATACAAATACTTTCATGAGACCCCAGTCAGTACAGATGTGAATATATGAACATGCTATTAATTTGATGAGGATGTTGAGGTGGATGTGCGGGCATACAAGAATGGATAAGATTAGGAATGAAGATATTCGAGAGAAGGTGGGCGTGGCCCCCATGGAGGACAAGATGCGGGAAGTAAGATTCAGATGGTTCGGGCACATTCAGAGGAGGAGCATTGATGCACCGGTGAGGAGGTGTGAGCGACTGGCTGTAGTGGGCACGCGGAGAGGTAGAGGGCGACCTAGGAAGTATTGGGGAGAGGTGATCAGACAGGACATGGCGCGACTTAGGATTACTGAGGACATGGCCCTTGACAGGGAATTATGGAGGTCGAGCATTAAGGTTGTAGGTTAGGGGAAACTTGTGAATATTTCTACAGCACAATAGAGTGAGACTGGCCAGTTAGGAGTTAGACTAAGAATGTCATTGGTCGTCTATTGATGCAGGGCTTTACCTGCTAGTTGTACTATACCAACCATCTATTTCGTATTTCGTATTCTGTATTTCATATCTCTTATATTGCTGGTATTTTATTATGCATTTTTATGGTACTAATATATCGGCTCCTGTTGCTTTTTTGAGCCGAGGGTCTCCTGGAAACAGCCTCTCTACCTTTCGGGGCAGGGGTAAGGTCTGCGTACATATTACCCTCCCCAGACCCCACTTGTGGGATTATACTGGGTCGTTGTTGTTGTTGTTGCTATTAATTTGATGAATAAACTACATCTGCATGCTCTTATATGAACTTTTGGTATCTCTTATTATCCTGTACTTAGTGGTTATCTTGCTTCATTTTTTCAGGTTGAGACGTTGACAAAAACATGGCTAAGCATCATCCTGACTTGATCATGTGCAGGAAGCAGCCAGGAATAGCTATTGGCCGTCTTTGTGAGAAATGTGATGGCAAGTGTGTTATCTGTGATTCTTATGTGCGTCCTTGCACATTGGTACGAGTTTGTGATGAATGCAACTATGGTTCTTTTCAGGGTCGTTGCGTGATCTGTGGAGGTGTAGGTATATCTGATGCTTACTATTGCAAAGAGTGTACTCAGCAGGAGAAAGACAGGGATGGTTGTCCTAAGATAGTCAATCTTGGGAGTGCTAAAACCGATCTGTTCTATGAACGTAAAAAATATGGTTTCAAGAAAAGATAGTATGGGTTTTCTTGTTTAGCTCTCGCCATAATATACCAGGACTATTGTGCAAGTTTGACACCATCACAATCTTTAGCATTCACTCTATGCTTCTTGGCATCGGGAGTTTAACTTTTTTTGTACCAGATGAGATATTATTACTTGTATTTTCTGTAGCAACATCTTGTTTAGGCTTAAAGTAAATGTTGAACATAAATGTCTTGTTGTTTGGATGGTTGGTGAAGCAGGGATTTCTTTCAGAAACTATCTTAAAACTTTGATGTGGAGTACATTTTTACTTATGTTTGACAGAAGTAAAAACCAGAGTAGAGGCCCAATTTCACATTTCTGATATCTTTCGAGAAGTTGCTTTGCACATCTTTTAATTGTCTGTTGCTGAAAATAAACAAGAAAATAGAACACAAACTTGCGATGAAGTCTGTCGAACTTTAATGCCCCTTAATTGAAGTATTTTCACAAGTATAAGAGTGCTGCATTTGATTTCACCTTTCAGCAATATGAGGTTCATTTGTATGTAGAGTTGTATGTAGAGACGGATTTGGGATTTAAAATTTATAGGCTTCTACAGTAATCTCAAGTTAATATACAATAATAATTGAGTTTAAAGTTTAATATTTATAAATATGTAGTTCTTGACAATAGCTATTGGGTTCCATGCAGACAATATATCCATCCAACTTCATATTTTTCCAATTGTTCACTTTTTTGTCAAATTAATGCTCCATTTTCTTTTAAGTACAACTTCTAAATGCAAATATCATTAAATAATGCAGGATCATTTGTGTTTTTCACCTATAAGAAAGCGTAAGAATTTGTTGCATCATAAGTAGTTGCTGTGATTTCATTCAGGTAACATTGCAGAATTCTCACAACTCATCATCTAATCAAAACATTGTCGGAATTTTCAGACGGGATCTCGAGAGGCTCGGGTATGTTTCGTATGGGTTCCGGACCATTTTGGAGTTAGAGAGGCAGATCTAGTGTTGATGTGTCACACCTGCAAGGTTTGGTGCGTGGGTGTAACGTCGCATACATGCTCTTGCATGAAACGCTATAATATACGACACATATCTCACGTATTCTCTTATAACTAAATCATAATTAATTAGTATACATTCTCGCATTAATTTAAGACTTAACCATAATAAATTAGTACAATTTGATATAAATACTGGGTGAGCATAAATTTTACAGACCCTTTGCATCATACTACATGCCAAATATATTGTACCATAAGTGTTTGTTGATCTACTGACATTATATTTATAACACACGTGATACTCATAAGGTAAATACTAATTATTAAATTATTAAGTGGATTTTTACCGATCCTTTGCATGATACTATATGCCAAATATATTGTACTGTATGTGTTTGTTGATCTACTGACATTATATTTATACATACACGTGATATTCAGAAGGTACATACATTAATTGTTAAATCATTAATTGGATTTTCTTTCTTTACTTCTCGTTATTATTTTACCTTATGATATTTTGTTTACTTTTAAATCCCAAAAATAAAAGAGAATAAAGAAGAAAACAAAATTTCTCTCACAACTCCGTAACAGATTCATACCTACCCAGTCCCCACTTCCCTTTCTCTAGGAAAAATGCATAGCACACTGTCACTCTCTCATTCACACAAAAAATATTTCGAACCAAACTTTTCATTCTTCACAAATTATCGCTTCTCCTCTTTTTTTTTGTACTTACTAAGTGTTCGATATCTCTTTAGGGCTCGAATAATTCGGATTCGCCATGAAAAGTTTTAGGGGACAAAGTGCTATATTCTAAAGGAAAATCCATACACAATGCTCGAACCTCAGATTTTTAATTAAAAACGCACCCAAATACTAGTTGCAACGGATATGGAATAGAAGATTTTAAATTTATTAAGTTCTCACCCATCTTCTTTGGAAAATCCGAAAGCTCTTCTTTGTCGATAATACCAAAATATCAAGTTGGCGCAGTCGTCTTTATCTTTATTTTGATACTTAGGAAGAGTATTAATCGCTTCACCAGAGGCGGACCTATGTGTAATAGAACCTGTAAACTTGAGTAGAAATTTTATATAGGTATATGTGTATAACTTGAAAATGAGTAATTTAAATCACTTGGCACCCTAAACACTAAAAACCTTTAAGGGGCACTAGTTGAGCAGAATATTATGCTCTGTCACATTAAAATTCTAGGTCCATCTCTGCACTTCACCACATCCGTTAGTGGTAACTATCCCTTCTACTTGATCTCTTCCTTACTCTCTCTCAGAGGCGGAGCAAGGACTTGAAACTTATGGGTTCGGGATTCTAATTCTTTTTAGTTACGGGATTCTAACTTAATAATTTGTGCATATTCAATAAATTTCTTAAGACAAATATATGATTTGGACCAAAGTTACTGGGTTCGGCCGAACCTATAATCGAAGGGCTGGCTCCGCCCCTGCTCTCGCTATATATACACACACTACGAGAGAGAGAGAGAACCATATTAATTTCACCACACCTACCAAAGAGCTTCAGCACTTCTAAACTGCATCACAATTTCACTCCAACTTATTACTCCTTCATATATAAACCAAAACACAGTACTAATTAGCTCACGCCATTTAAAAGCACTACCTTTCTCTCTCGTGGAAACAGCACATAAACTTGTGCACTCTACTTCTTCCTTTTTACACTTTTTACTAGTTCTTTCCGGATTTCTCGTTGTAACCATCCGAGCTAAGTTCATGTCGTTTGAACGTCGTCAACCAAATTCCAACAACAATTCTACCTAAATGACACACTATGACATGTGAAGTCTCCTTTTGCGTCGAAGTTATGGTTTTGTTGCAAAATTTTTGAGTGGTGAGTGTGTTGAATATTAACTCGTACTAGTAGATATAGGTAGTAACAAATCATGAATTCATGATTCCTACCCTTGTGATAAATGTGCCAAAACAAAAAGAAATTTTGTCAACGTATATTATCTGGTTTGTTGCTTGATGATTTTATAATTTGTTTTTCAATGAATGTGCAGAATTTAGAACGTGCGTAACTAAGGTACATGGTGATGCGCAACCCAAGAGAAGGTTTGGTGGGGCTGAAATATGTGGCGGATCATAGCAACACCACATATTCCTAGCACATTTGTCTGCAATATAGGAGACATGCTAAAGGTATTCGATTTGCTTTGTAACTTTTTCATCATTTTCACACATCTGCGTAAGTAGTTCTTATTTGTTGGTTATTGGTAGATCTTATCAAGCAAAATTAATGAATCAACTTTACAGGGTCATCAAAAACTCTCCCAATTGAATATCAGTGCCAATATGAATCAACGTGGCACTGAGTATTCATTTGGGAGAGTTATTGATGACCTCGTGACTGTTGATTCATTAATTTCGTTTGATAAGTTCTATCAATAGTCAGCAAATAACAAGAACAACTTAAGCAGAAGTGTGAAATAATGAAAAAGTTACAATGCAAATCAAATACCTTTAACATATCTCCAATATTGCAGAAAAATGTGCCAGGAATATGTGGTGCTGATATGATTTGCACATATTTCAGTCCCACCAAAACCCTTCTCTTGAGTTTCATGTCAGCATGTACCTCAATTATATATGCACCTTTTAAATTTTATGTATTCATATGAAAAACTTTTCAGTAATCAAGAAAGAACCAGGCAATATACATTGGCAAATATCTTTTTTGGTTACCATCTTTAACATAAGGGTAGCACTGAATCCATGTTTTGTTGCTACCCGTGTCTATTAGTACTAGTTGGTACACAACAAGTTCACCAATCAAAAAAAATTGCGGTGTAACCATGATTTTGACGTAAAGGACATGTCACATGTCATAGAGTGTTATTTCAGTAGAATTGTACCTTGTTGTTGGAATTTGGTCGACGACGCTAAGCTCGGATGGTTACAACTAGAAAACCAGGAAAGGAAATAGTTAAAAAGTGTAAAAATGAAAATGCAGATATGCACAAGTATGTGCTGTTTTCAGGAGAGAAGAAGAAGGTGCTTTGCTCTGTTAGCTATTTTCTAGTATTGCTGCTTGTGCTTAACGATTTCTTCTGATTAAATGTTTTTCAAACACTTATTTACACAATTTCAGCAAAATATTTGACATGTAAATTGACATATAATGACTTCACTTGACATAAGCACAACATATAATGAGTTATGTTTTTTTTAATACTGTTGTGCTTATGTTTTGCTGAGCTGATGGTCTATTGGAAATAACTTCTTTATTTTCAGGAGGTAGGGGTAAGGTCTGCGTACACATTATCTTCCACAAACCTCGCTATATGGGATTACACTGAATTTTTTGTTGTTGTTGCTGTTCGGAAAAAAAGGGGATAATTTCAGAGACCTTCCTTCATATTTGGCTTATCACACCGACATCTTTTGTGATTTTAGGGTAAGTCCGCATATGTTTTCCTTCTGTTTCGTTTACCTTTTTCTGCAATAGAAAATTATGTTGGAGGCAATAATAATGGGAAATAAACCAAGAGTATCTCACGATGATCTTTGTGTCAATGAATCTTCTATAAATGATTTTTCAGATAATGAAAATCGGAGGAGTAATTCTATTTCCTCCAAAGAAACAACAATGGAGATGAAAATAGTAATTTTTTTAAAAAATGTTTAAAATAATTAAACAAAAGAATATATTAGAAAAGGCAACTTAGTTATATCGTAATTCTTTTACATTAATAATAAATAGGTTAAAGGAATTATTACCAAAAAATTATAATAAAGGAGGTAAATATAATATCGTAAACCACAAGAGACTTAAGTGCAATAAAGTCAAATATGAAGGAAGGTCTGTGAAATTATCACACAAAAAAGTGAGTGAATGCATAAGAAGTTCTGATACCAAAATGTTACAACTAAAATTCAAAAATAGAATGGAAAAATCCTTTTGGCCACACCGTTTTTGGCCAGATTGAAACCAAATGGGGTCATTTAGGTAATTTTACGCCCCAATTAGGGTTTTAGGCGTATTTCTATACTGATAATACTCTTTCAGTTAATTTTGAATATTCTCTCCTACCATTTAATATTTGTCTTCTCAATGCATGGAAGATCTCAAAGGTTCAAACCCTATTTCCCATAAAACTTTTCTTTTATTTTATTTTTTTTTACGTATTTTCAGCCCTTATTTTTGAAGTATACACCCATATAATTCGAAATAATTCATTTATATACATGTATTTGATTGTGCAATTCGTATATTTTTAGTATTTGATTGTGTATTTCGTATATTTTTAAGTATAATAAGGTCTTCAAAGCCCTACTATTTAAATAAATCTACACTACAAC